ACAGCTTTACAATGAGCCCACCCATCCACCCCTCAGCTAGCGTCAGTCCCTTCCAGAGCGATGGCGGGGTGTTGTGAATGCTGCCCAGACTATGGCAGAGGAAGCAGGAGTGGCAGCTTGCCCACAGAGCTGAGTGAAAATAAAAATGGGGGAAGGTGGTGTTGAGGTAGGGGCTATGCAGGAAGAATGGGCCAAGATAGTAGCCTGTAAAATGACCTGGCAGGAGCATTGAGTGCAGAGAGAAGGCAGGGCAGGCACCAGCAAAGCAAGAATTTCTCTGCAGGGCAAAGGGGGCCTTTGAAGGGTTTTCCAGTGGGAGAGGAAAGTTCTAATTTACATGTTGAACAGCCCTGGAGTTCCATTAGAGAGACAGCAACATTACAACCTATGACTGGGTGTCACCAGGAGATAGGAGTGGCCCATAGGGGAGGGTTCGGGGGAGGGTATTAGGTGTGGCTTGGAGGAGGTCACAGATAGCTCCAATTGGAAGGGACCAGTGAAGGCCTCTGAGGGGCTGGACTCTGGCTTTTGTGGCTGGTAAAGGTCTGAGGATGGCAGTTGCTTGCTCAGGTTTAGGCGTGTTGACCTTGGGCATCTGACCCAGCCCACGGCTCAGACTTGGATTCTGTAGGAATAATATATAATAATAGCTCAGCATCCAAGAGGTAAGAGAGGCAGAGGAACTGCCGCCCAGGAAGGGAGCTCTGGGAACCTGGGTAAGCTGAGCATGGTCTGTATGGAAAGTGTGGGGCAGTTTGGGTACCAGGAAAGTCACAGGGGATTGCTGGGGAACACAAGTGCCTGGCTCCTGGTCCAGGAGACGGTGGGACAGAATTGACTTGGTTTTCCGGCAGACTATGGCAAGGGATGGGAGCACCAGGACCTGGATAGGACAGGGCTTCTCTCCCAACTCCCTGGAGATTCCAGACGCCACAGAAAATTACCAGGTGATACAATAAATGCCACCTGAGCAGGGAGGGTGGGACAACCTAAGGGGGCACTCTGTGTCTTGCGTCTGAACTGTTCATCAGGCAGAACAGAAGTGACTTCAGATCTGAGTACCACAGCCAGGCCAAGACTGAGGCTTTGGAGAGCTCCCGAGTCTTCTGAAGTCTGTCTCATTGACTCTTCTAGTTTTCTATCCTCTCTGGAGGGGAAACTGAGGCCAGCAAGGGAAAAAGGCTTCCCAGGTCCCCATACTAGCTCTCAGTGAGGTCAGGTTTGAAACAGGGAGACTTGAGGACCCATGTCTCTGTGGTTCTACCCTTGGAATTTGGAATTGGACTTGATCTATCAGGTGCCAGGCCGCTACTGCTGCTGAATGCATTAACAAGCTGACAGTTCTGGAGCACCACACACTTGGCTCAGGTTCCACTCACATCAAAGGTGAGTGCTGGGTGGTACCAAAAAGCCAGGCTTGGGGAGGGGAGCACAGAAGCTTGCCTCCTCAACCTGTGGGATGACAGGAGCCCGTTTGAGGACTCCTCCATCCAGCCAGTGTGGTCTGTGTGGTTCTGAGAGGTTATAGCCAGGTAGCCATAGGGCACAGGTGTCCCGGCCTCTCTGATCTGTGGCCTCAGATGATAAGAAGGGTCTGCAACCAGACCCATCCAAAATGAGCTGACTCTTGTAGCCTGTAGAAGGTATCATGAGAGACAAGCTAGGACTTGACTCTGGAGAGAACTCGCCAACCACTCTCGGAGATGATGAGCTCCCCAGCGGGGCGGATGTGCAAGCTGACATTTCTAGGGTGCTGAAAAGTCAGACTTTCAGATTCTGTGATGATCCTAAAGTTAATTAAGTTGTTAAGATGTTTGAGGCCTGAAGCCAGTTTCATTCCATCAGTTTACTAAGTGGGGTCATAAAATGTCCCAGATGGTATCAGGGTTCTCGGCTTCCAGGGCGCAGAGGGCGATCCTGTCCCAGGAGTTCTAGAGTGTGAGGAAGTGCTGCTTACATCTGGATCCACCCATTTTGCTTACTCACACTGAGTTTGCTGCTTAGACTATTGACCTCAGCTGTAATAACCCTTACCCACCGGGGGCTCACTACCTGCCCAGAGCTTCCTGGCATTCAGGTGTGGTCAGCCTTCTGGACCTAACAGTGACGTGGGGTGTGGTTGGAGGCTGCAGTGAGATGCCAGTTTCAGGAAGTGGTTGGCATAACCTTTCCTTGATAGGTTTCTGTACCGCTGAATGGCCATGGGCAGAACCCCTCCCCAACTACTGAACTGCAACCCCAACATTTGATTTCCTGTACTGACAACACAAGTTACTGTACATGGTTTTCTCAGATGGGGTTCCTTTGGAAACAGGATGTTCCTTTTGAAACAGGATGTGCCTTGAGGGGGCCACTTTGAACCCAGTTCTCTAGAATATTCTCTGGAGAATGTAAACGGAGACTGCCCAGGGGAACTGGAGTAACTCCTGAGTCTCCCCCTACCTGTGTTCCAAAGTCTCCAGTCTGGCCAAGGCCCCTGAGGTGTGGACTGATGGTACCAGCACAGAAGGAATAATTTTAGGATGAAAGGCACGGGAATGGTGGCGTGACACCCGCAGGCTACCCTGGCATACAAAACCTCCTGCCGGGGTCAGTACACCAAGAGCACAGGTCAGCTAGCCCTCACCCGTGCCCCCACCAACACTCCCTTCTCATGGCTGCCCTCTACCCAGTCAGTTCCCTAGAACTAGCCAAGGAGTAAAGAGGCACCCACAAGGGTCTTAATGAGCAAGCCGGGGTTAATGGGTTACCCAGCATGGTGATATATTCACCAACCTCCCCGGGCTCTCAAAGTCCAGACTGGCCTGGCTTCCAAGGTCTAGGTTTGTAGGCTTAAATGCTCCTTTTTCTGGCCCTGAACCTTAGAGTTCAGTGTAGGGGTACGGGAGGTCAAGAGTCTCCACACCATCCACGGAGCCTCTGCAGAAAGACTCCAAGTCCGCCTCCAGACTCATGGGTTTCCTCCTGTGTCAATCCAGTCTCAACCCTAGCCCTGATCATTTTCTGGGGACTCCATCCCAGTGTCCGTCCCTCTGAAGCCCCGGCCTCCCTACCTGGCTAAAAGCACACTTGGTTTGTTTTTTTAATTTTATTTCCTGTGTATGGTACTTTGCTTGCATGTGTGCCTATGGACAGCTTGTGTGCCTGGTGCTCCTAGAGACCAGAATAGAGAGAGAGTCAGATGCCCTGGAACTAGAGTTACAGGTATGGGGTCACCACGTGGGTGATGGGAATCAAACCTGGGTCCTCTGGAAGAGCAGCCTCTGTCTTAACCATGGAACTATCTCTCCAGTCCCAGGGTTTTTCTGTTCGTTTGCTTGCTTGTTTTAAAATCTTTTAAATTTATTTTATTTTATTATTTTGTAGCTAAAAAGACATCTCAGTGGTTAAGAGCACATACTGTTCTTGCTAAGGATTCAAATTCAATTCCCAACACCCACAACAGGCAGCTCACACTGCCTTGTAACTCCAGCTTCAGGGGACCTGACACCCCTCTGACTTTCTCATACACAGACATACACATGTATACATAATAATAAAAATATTGTAAGTTTTATTTTGTGTGTGTGTGTGTGTGTGTGTGTGTATTTTGCCCATGTGTATGTCTATGTACCACATACGTGTAAGTGCCCAAGGAAGTCAAAGAGGGCGTCAGAGTCCCCTGGGACTGGAGTTAGAGATGGTTGTGAGCCACCATGTTAGTGCTGGGAATCAAACTTGGGTCCTCAGAAGAGAGGGTAGTCAGTGTTATCTATCTATATCTATATCTATAGATACATCTACATCTATATCTATATCTACATATAGATATAGAACTTGGGTCCTCAGAAGAGAGGGTAGTCAGTGTTATATATCTATATCATCTATATCTATATCTATCTATCTATTATGTATACAATATTCTGTCTGTATGTATGCCTGCAGGCCAGAAGAGGGCACCAGACCTCACTACAGATGGTTGTGAGCCACCATGTGGTTGCCAGGAATTGAACTCAGGACCTTTGGAAGAGCAGGCAATGCTCTTAACCACTGAGCCATCTCTCCAGCCCATCAGTGCTCTTAAGATGAGCCATTTTTTCAGCCCCAACATTTGTCAATTTATTGTGTGTGTGTGTGTGTTATACATTATACAGAGTGCTTGTGGTGACTAGAGAACAGCTTCCAGAAGTCCATTCTCTCTTTTGCTGCAGGACTGTGGAATTCCTATTGTCTCCCATTGTCAGGCTCAGCGGGAAGCATCGTTATCTACCAAGCCCTTGTGTAGACCCAGAGAGCACTGGGTTATTCCCAAGCAGGTTGGGGGCCTCTAAGAAGAAGAGTTCAGAGGGACACGGAGGGAGTTGGCTGAATGAGGGTAAACTAGATCCCAGGGGCTAGAGGTTTGGGATTTCCCCTTCTGTTGGAAACGAACCCCATCTCATTCAATGAGAGATTATGAGGGCTAAAATGTACCGTCCCTCACTTCCCCTGCCAAGTGCCCCCCCCCCCCCCATTGGCCAGATTGCCTTTATCTAGAAAATTGAGGGATTAGGAAAGACTCTTGGGTGGCGAGACTTCCTTCAATCCTGTTAACCAAAATACTTGGAGTAGCAGCCCCTTCCCCGCTCAGGGGCTCAGATGGTCCAGAGGGCCAGCCTCCTTCTGGTAAGACTCCTTAGATCTGGCAGGGCCTCAGAGGACTTCAGTCATAACTTCTACTAGTTAGGGCATCTGGCTGCATCCCAGCTCTATGTGACCCCTACTTGCACACGGAAGCCACAGCTGTACCTCCTCTTCTTTAAGGTTTACCTGTCCCTTCGGGCTCAGATTTCTCCTTGGGAGCCTCCCAGGCTCTGAGCTGTCCACAGCCGTTTCAGGTCACATGGCCTCAGGGATTAGATTTGGAGCCAACCCTCTCTCTACCTGGAGTAGCTCCTGTACCTTTAAAACCTCCTCCCAACCCAGGCCAGCTGGGGGAGGGAAGGGAGGAGCTGGGTCACAGCTGGGGATGGGGACTTAGTCTTCCGCTGCTGTGGGACTGTGTGGAACCGACAGTGAACGCAGCACATGTCTGGCTGTGCCACAGCTGCCGTGTGACCCCCACAAAGCCCTCCTCACTCTCCCTGAACTGCTGGACATCGTAGGTGGGGCAAAATAGACTTGGGGACCCCCCAAGAATGTATGAAGACTTGGTTCTGTCCCCTGGCTCTACCACGCCACTCTGGGGGCTCTGGTGATCCCCTCAGAACCTCCCTGCAGCCACCTGCGCAGCAGGAGTGTACCACACTTCTGGATAACAGGGCAGCAGGCTTCCGTGCCCTGGTCCCAGTGGGTTCACACAGGTAGGCAGAGCCCTATTTCTTACCAGACAGTCGGGATTGAGGGGGCCTGCCCAGGCTTTCCTCTCATTCTTCTGCAAGTGTAATAGGGTGGTTGTTAAGGGTTTCAGGGTGGGGTTGCAGACTCCTCAGAAAAAGATTTTGGGCCCTGGTTCTCTGGAAGTGGATTTGGGATTAAGAGTGAAGTAGCTGAGACCCAGGAAGGGCTGACAGTCTGGGCAGGAATGATGGTCAGCCTTCCACAGGCACAGTGCCCTCCAGTCCTGCCTGCCCCTCTCTGGGCTTGGGTTGGGGGTAGGGCAGGGACCATTGTGCAATGAATCATTTACTCTGTCACCTCTAGGTCTGTGCCTAGGCGGTTTAAGCTCTTTCATCAGGTTCCCAGAAAGCAGTACTTTTCAAGTCATTGGAAGAGTATAGGTGTGTGCGTGCGTGTGCATGTGCATGTGCATGTGTGTGTGTGTGTGTGTGTGTGTGTAAGGGGTATAGGTGTGTGTAAGGGGTATAGGTATGTGTAATGGGATATAGGCATGTGTGTAAGGGGGTATAGATGTGTGTGTAAGGGGATTGTAAGTGTGTTTTCTGATCCTCTGCTGTCCACACCAGTTTGGGCAGCAAACTTCAGGCAGATCCCAACTTTAGTTTTGGGAGAAGTGTCTAGTCAGAGTACAGGCAGGCCTGGGAGGCCAAGGAGATCTGTGTTCTTGTACCCAGATGTCCTTATAAACATACAGAGTAGAATGGGGTGTCCTGGCCCATGTGTGATCTGCAGACCTCCCAGGCAAATTGCTTTCGGTTAAACTTCGGTTTCTTTTCTTTTCTTTCTTTCTTTTTGAGACATCTCCCTGCATAGCTCTGGCTGACCATGAACTCACAAAGACCAGTCTGACTCTGCCCCCCTCAACCCCCCTCCCCTGTGCTGAGGTTAAAGGCATGCGCCACTATTAAACTTCATTTCTTGTGGGTGGGTATGTTTGACTCCTGTGGCCTTGAGACTTCATAGCCGCCCACAGACTCCAGTGGACCAGCAAGATTAGCAGAGACTTTCCGGTCTGGCTGTTGGTCTGTCTTTCTTGCACCTACTTCTCTGCTGCATCTTGGGAATCTGCTTTACTCGGTCTAGATTCAGCTCAGGGTGTATGTGTGATGTGTGTGTGTGTGTGTGTGCTGGTGTGTGATGTATGTGTGTGTGTATTAGTGTATGTGCATATGTGTACATGTGTGTGGTATGTATATGTACAGGATGCATGTGTGTGATGTGGGGGGTTCTGGAAGGGCAGCTTGGCAGCCATCAGCATCTCTAGGCATGTGAGGTTTGTATACTAATGGATATAGGGAGTCCACCACACTGAGTGCTGGAGTCAGGAAACTGTTCCTCTTGGCCAATGAGGACCAGAGGGGATTAGGATGCCCTTGAGGGAGACCTACAATTGTGTCTAGTTGGAACTTCATTGGCGAGCTTGTCAGGGACGTGCAGCAATTTGGGGCAGGAATCAGTGGCAGGATTGCCCTCCGGGTTGTGTGACTGTAGAACAGGTCGGGCCTTCTCTGGGCCTTCTTTCTAGGTTGTTCCTGTCATTGATTGAGCCTGTAGAGCTAATGTTCCTTGATTGGTAGTTGAACCGGTCTGGACGCTGAGGCCTTAGGCGCTGTTCCAGGAACACACCTCTGTCACTGACCAGTAAAGTACAGCAAGACCATAGATCTGGGCTATGGTCTAGTGCCAGGGGGCACCCCTAGTCCACTGCCTCGGGAACATTTCAAGGACATCGTGTCTGTCCCTACAGTCGCAAAGGGACTTAACGGGCTCACTGAAAGGGCTCACTAGTGGCCTCTGCCCTTTGGAGGGAACCAAATCCGAGAAAGGGGAGCCCCTTTCCCAGGCTCTAGCACCTCCCACCTCCCCGCCCAGGGCCCTCCTGGGGCTGTGTGAACTTTAGTCACCTGGTGCCTAAGCCTAAGCTGCACCTCCTTGCTGCCCTGACAACAGTATTGACCATTCTCCCGGCCTGGCTGGACCTCTTACAGAGGACTCCCTACTCCACACCCCACTCAGAAGCCACCAGCTGCCCTTCCTGGATGCTGGGCACCCCTTAGCTGACCTCTTGACCCTTGGGATTCGGTAAGCACATGGGTCCGGGACTACTAGTGACCCTTTCCTACCTCTGCTCTGAGGAGATGCCCAACCTCAGATCCTGATATCAAGTCTGGGTTGGGGGCACTGAGCTGTTCTGCAAGGCTGACAGGCATGGCTCTGGCTGCTTCTGGGGGTGGGAGAGCAGTCAGTTCTGTGGCCAAGATGTCCTGGGTGGAGCCTTTTACCTCTTCCTCCCCATCTCAGAACCATCCTCTAAGGAAGGAGGATCTCTCTTTTGGGTCCCCATTGCCTCCAGGGCCTCTGGGAAATCCAGCAGAGTTACAGAGAGGGAGGGTTCTGGGTTTGAGGAGCAGTGCCTCAGTTTCCCTCCCAACACTGATTTGGGTAGAGCCGGGGCTTTTGGCCTTCCACATTCCTTTAGTGGATCTTTGAGAAAACTTGGGGTGGAGGGGTGGGAAATAAAAGCCCAGGCTTCCAGCAGGGTGTCTTCCGCTTGGACTGGGACATCTGCTTACAGGAGGCAGGGCCAGCCTTCCCTGTCACACTGTCCCAGGAGGAAGGGACAGGGTCAGGGGTCAAGGCTGCCCACTTCCTTCCCCAGACTCTTTGGAAGGGGGAATCCTGCCGGGTGCCCTTCTAGGGCTGTTCAGTGGACAGAGGGATGGGTGGGTGGACACGGAAGGGTGAAGCATGTAATAATGTAGTCACAGAAGGCTCACCTCGGGACCCTGAGACTACTTTTAGTTTACAGCTTCAAACCTGGGAGAAAAGAAGCCCAAGATGCCCCACTTAGATCAGAGCTGCATGAGGTCACGGAGTAGAGCACTGGCCATGGCTGTTCCCTACCGTACTACACAGATGGGAGTGTTCTGTACCAGCAGTGAATGATGCCACATGTTACTGGCCTGGCTCCTAAGACCCCTTGAAACCCCCAATGTGGCTTTCTCATCATGAACCCTCGACCCTGACCTAGGCTCACCCCAGAGCTCAGGGTATGTGCCCAGAAAGCTAGCAGGTCTAGAGAAGGGCTTAGACTGTCCCTTGGACAACAGGGACAGGGCCTGATTGCCATGATGGATAGGAGGAACCCCCCAGCTGCCTCTGGAGGACCAAGCTGGCCAGAGGAATTGTAGGAATGAGACTGTGACCTCAGGTCAGATCCATGCCTGGATTCAGGCAGGGAGAGCTGCAAGGGACGGTACTGGGGACATAAGTGGCATCCCCTCTGCCCGGGGCTCAGTTCTCCCCTCTGTCTCAAGAGTTGTAAATCTGCTTTCCCATATAAGATGAGGCATCAAATCCTTTTACACCACCCGCCACTCAACCCTCCAAGTGTGTGTGTGTGTATGTGTGGAAGAACAGGGGAGGAGGGCAGGAGCTCTCCTATTATGGACTTGGTAATTTTTCTTCTCAGTTATGGGGACAGGGCAAGAACTCCATCCCTAGACCATGGGATACCCTGTCTGATTCTGAACTCGGGGACGAAAAAAAAAAGGATAGAGAGAAAGAGAGAGAGAGAGATCCAGATTGGGAGGTAGCCCAGGACTTCATGCAAAGGCTCTCCAGTAGATGCCACCCTTTGGAGGAAATGGAGTCTGGGAGAAGGGCACCCCGTACCTTTGTCAATGCATTTCTTCTTCTTGTGGGTTTACCTTCCTACCCCTAGCCTCAGAGTAAGGCTGGGACTTTCCTTCTCTGTGTGTCTGGAAAGAAATCCCCAGGGGAAATAGTCAACTAGGAGGCACACCAATTATTTTTAAGATTTATTTACTTTGTTTTCTGCGCATGAGTGTTTTTTTATTTATAAAAGTTTATTAATTTATAAAAGTTTCCATTTCCGCCCCTCCTCCCAACACCCTCCCACTCCCCCCACTCCCTCTCCTCCTCCCTCTCCATCCCCCAGAGCAGTCAGGGTTTCCTGCCCCGTGGGAAGTTCAAGTTCCTCCCCTCTCCCTCCAGGTCCAGGAAGGTGAGTATCCAAACAGACTGGATCCCCAAAATCCAGTATATGCAGAGGAAACAAGTCCCAGTGCCATTGTCAATGACTTCTCAGAAAGTCCCCATGCCATCCACATTCAGAGAATCTGGCCACATACAGAGAATCTGGTTGGATCACGTGCTCGTTCAGTCCCAGTCCAACTGGCCTTGGTGAACTCTCATTAGATCAGTCCCCTTGTATCAGTGGGTGAACGCACTCCTCACGGTCCTGCCTTTCTTGTTCATGTTCTCCCTCCTTCTGCTCCTCATTTAGACCTTGGGGGCTCAGTCCAGTGCTCCAATGTGGGTCTCTGTCTCTGCGCATGAGTGTTTTGCATGCGTGTTTGTCTTTGTACTATCAGCATGCCTGGTACCCACAGAGACCTAAAGAGGGCATCAGAGTCAACTGCCCTGTGGTAGCTGGGAGTGGAACCCAGGTTTTCTGGAAGAGGAGCCAGTGAGTGCTCTTAATCACTGAGCCATCCCTTCAGCCCTCTCCCAACACCCCGCTTTTTGGGGGGATAATATCTCATGCTGTAGCACAGGCTAGCCTAAAACTCACTAGATAACCTATGCTGAGCTCAAATCCCCAGCAATTCTTCTGCTTCTGCTTCCAGAGTGCTAGCGTTACAGGTGTTAGCCATTACGTTCAGTTTAACAGTTCACACATGTTCTCATTCCAAAACACTCTGTGCTCGAGGGAGTGAAGAGCCCCACAGCAGGTGAATACCAGCTTCAGCCTCGGGAAGGGCCTGGACCCTTGGATCTCTTTGTTCACGTGCCGCTCTTACTTCCAAATCCTGGGCTTACACATGAATGCCCAGGAACCTCCCTGCCCTGTTCGGTGACCCCTTCCCGGGGTAGCGCTTGAGCGAAGTCATGCGTACAAGCAAGCAGCTGGAGGTCTCTTTGGCTGCAGGGTTCAATGGGAGGCAGAGAACCAGCTAGAGGCAGAAGGAGATCATCACATTGGGCACTCCAGGAAGTGCTGGGCCCATTTCAGGTATAACTTTGTGACTTTCAGGAGTCCAAGGAGGTGGCCTGCTCCAGCAGTCTCGGGGAAGACTGACCATAGGTGTGTGCAGTGTGTTGAGGAGTGCTCGCCAGTCTACACAGCTGTTTTTCAGGATCCGCCTCCCCAGGGAAGGTGTGGCGCTCCTACTGGACGGTAAGTCCTGACCTGTGGAGCTAGTCTACTTACTTCAGGGCACTGTTGGGTCTCCTTGGAAGGCCTCTCTAGGGGTCCGTGGTCAGGGCCAGGCTCTCAGCTAGAGTAGGGGACCCAGAAAGAATGGGGCAAATCCTCTCCTTTTTGGAGTTTATCTCAGGGCAGTAGCGTCTTGGCTTCTGTAGGCAGTTATCCAAGGCATGTAGAGTCTGAAGGGTCTCCTTGGGGGGATCTGTGCTGGGAATGAAGTCCATACAGGGATGAGCTCTGAAAATAAACAGGATTTGTTTGCAATAGCAGAGGTGGGATCCAGAGCTTCCAGCAGAAGGAATGGCCTGGCCAAAGGTCTGAGGGCTGGACAGCCCATGCATGTTCTAGAAGGCTACAAGGAGGCACAGGGCTGTGTCCCTGAGGTTTGACTTTAGACTGTGCCCTGTGGGGGATGGTCTAGGACTTCCCAAGGTGCTGGACCTGACCCTACTCCTTCTCCCTGGGCAACAGAGCCATGAAGAATCGGTTCGTGGTGCTGGGCCTGGTGGCCGTGGCGCTGGTTTTTGTCATCATTGCCCTCTGCATCTGGCTGCCCTACACATCTAGGAAGCCCGACCATGTGTACTCCAGGGCAGCAGTGGCCACAGACGCCAAGCGCTGTTCAGAGATTGGGCGGTAAGTCGGTTTGCCGGCTCTAGGCCGAGGCATCCTGGAAGACAGTGGCTAGTGAGCTTGGACAAGACTCGGGTTCCCCATCCGTAACTGGACAAAGAATGTCCGATGGACAGGGAGCTGCCCAGCCTTTCCTTGGACTCTTTTGGTAGCCTCTGCCTAGGGGAAAAGGGATGTGGCTCTGAGGCAGGCTATTAATTTTCCCACAGCCAACTTGGGCCCCTCTTCTCAGTTTTGTCTCTGAAAAATGCTGCCATTCCATTCCCGTTTTAGATTGTGGTTTTTTTTTTTAAATTAAAAATACTGATGTGTAGAAGCATTTTGCCCGAATGTATGCTTATGCACTGCTTGCATGCCTGGTGCCCTTGGGGGCCAGAAGAGGGCATTGGATCCCCTGGAACTGGATTGCATACAACTGTGAGCTGAGATGTTGAGAATTGAACGCAGGTCCTCTGGAAGAGCAGTCATCAAACCATCTCTCTAGCCTCCTCCCATTTTAGACTTTTCTCTCATTATATGTAAAAGTTCTCATTTAGAGACATAAACAGAAAAAAACATGTTATTAATAAAAAAAATAGCCTCCTTTTTTCAATTAAATCATGTATATTTGTTTGCTTGGAAAAAAACTACATCTTCAAAAACAAAAACTTTGCTAGGCATGGTAGCACACGCCTTTAATCCTGGGAGGATTAAATCTCGGGAGGCAGAGGCAGGTGGATCTCTGTGAGTTTGAGGCCAGCATGGTTTACATAGTGAGTTCCAGAGCTACGTAGTGAGAGCCTGTCTCCCAAAAGAACAAAACAAAACAAAACAAAAACCAACTTTGGAGCTAGAGAGGTGGTTCAATGATTCAGAGTGTGCGCTGCTCTTTCAAAGAGCCAGCCTCCAGTTCCCCTGCGCCCGTATCAGGCAGCTCACAGCTGCCTGTAACTTCAGTCCAAAGGATCTGACCTCTATGGGTACCTTCACTCTCCCACCCTCTCTCTCTTTCTAAGATAAAACAAATCTGAAAAAAAAAAAGCCACTGGGCAGTGGTGACGCATGCCTTTTAATCCCAGCACTCGGGAGGCAGAGGCAGGTGGATCTCTGTGAGTTCGAGGCCAGCCTGGTCTAGAGTGAGTTCCAGGACAACCAGGGCCGTTACACAGAGAAACCCTGTCTCAAAAACCCAGAAACCAAAAATTTCACCTGTCAACTCAGCCCTTAGAATAAAACCCTGTCTCAGTAAAAGTTAAAATAGGCAAACAAGCAAGGAAGCAAAAAAACTGGGCCAGCTAAACTCGGCAGCTTAGCTCTCCTCTCGGGAGGCTGAGGTTTGAGGCCAGCTTGGGCTTGCATAGTGAGTGTGACGCATTGTGAGATCCTGTCTCAAAGCAGAAAGACGTAGTGTAGGCTCATTCTTCTTTCATCATCCTTTGGGCAGGGTGACCAGAGAGGGTGGCAGGGTGGTCCTGAAAGATTGGGACTCTCACCTTCCTACGTACCGCCTATAGGGACATACTACAAGAAGGTGGCTCCGTGGTGGATTCAGCCATCGCAAGCCTGCTCTGTATGGGGCTCATTAACGCCCACAGTATGGGCATCGGGGGCGGCCTGTTCTTCACCATCTACAACAGCACCACACGTGAGTATCCAGGGTGAGAAGGGTGGGTAACTCAGTCCACCCCTCTCAAGTCAGAGTGACTTGAACTAGAACATCATAGCTGAATGACCACTGGGCCCCCTTGACAGGAGGGGTTGGGGATAACCCAGCCTGGCGATATCTTTCTTCTTATAGGGAAAGCTGAAGTTATCAATGCCCGGGAGGTGGCTCCCAGGCTGGCCACCACCACCATGTTCAACAGCTCGAAAGACTCTGAAGAAGGTAAGCCGTCGTACGGGCCACAGGTGTGGGTACACACTCACAGGGCACACGGACCTGCCTGAGGCCTGGGGACAGCTCTGGTACCCGTGACACCCGCCTATAACAAATGGTTAGTCACCATCGTGAGGGTAGGGGTAGGTTCTTTCATTTCTTCTCCGTTCTACACTGGGCCACCTGCGTGTGTGCACCTGGAGAGGACAATCACAGTGGACCCTTGGCGTCACAGAGGACCTGGGTTTGATTCCTGGCACCCACATGGTGGTTCACAACTGGCTGTAAATTTCAGTCCAGGGGAATCTGATGCGCTTTCTTGATCCCCTGCACCAGGCCATAGTACATTCAGGTCAAGTATTCACACACACACAAACAAACGAACAAACAAAAAAACAAATTTCTTTGTAAAAACCCAATTACTACTTCTTCTTCTTCTTCTTCTTCTTCTTCTTCTTCTTCTTCTTCTTCTTCTTCTTCTTCTTCTTCTTCTTCTTCTTCTTCTTCTT